TGATTTTGGGCACTTTGCATATATGGCCCAGTTGACCCCTGTTTGAGGGTATGCAAACTCTGGACCACGTTCTGCATATTATTTGGTACCTTGCACTCGCACCACTGAGCATGGGTGACCGCGGGACCTGCTACCACTCCGCCCAAGTCATGTTAGTGATAAGTTGTAGGTGCGCGTTGTACTTGAGGCGATTCAAGCCAATTTTCGTTGAGTTTTCTTTTCTTTTTGGGGGGTTTGGTTTTCTTATTTCTTCTCCATTTTTTCATACTTTTTTGCACTTTGTTTCTTCATTTTTTTCATTTCTTTTTCTTTTCTTTTCTTTATTTTTTGGTTTTCTTTGTTCTTTTGGTTAGTATTTTATATTTCTTGTATACGTCAATAACATTTTTCTAATACACATCTAACATTTTTTAGTACTTGTTCAACATATTTCAAATACTTTTTCAACATTTTTATATACCGGATCAGTATTTTTTTTCAAATACTTGTGCAACATTTTCCAAATACTTGTTCAACATTTTTATATACATGATCAACATTATTTCAAATACTTATTCAAATTTTTTTCAAATACTTGTTCAATATTTTTCAAATACTTGTCCAACATTCTTATATACATGATCAACATTTTTTCAAATAGTTGTTCAACATTTTTTTAGATACTTGTTCAACATCTTTTAAATATTTGTTCAACATTTTTCAAATGCATGATTAATATTTTTCTAAATATTATGTAAGTTATATTTTTTAATATTTTTTTGAATATTTGAAAGTGTAAACAAAATAAAAAATGGAATCAAAAAACGAAATAAAAATGTGAAAAAAAAACAGAAAAGAAAACGAGGCAGTGTAGTACCCGCGAACCTGGGCGGCTCATAAGGTCACGCGCTTTAGCGAGTCAGAAGCCTCGACTTGCTGAACGCGAGACATAGCGATGCCCCTGTTTCAGAGTCAAAATGTTGTACACCTGGGGCATCTGCGAGTACAAAGTAGCCCATGGGTTGTATACAGTCCTGCCTAAATTATCTGTCAATCCTGATAAAACGAACCGGATAATGGGCCCGTCGGATAGAACCGCACGATAAATAGTACAAGACACAAAACACAAGACTTGTCGAGAAAATAAGTTACAAAAAAAAACACCCCAGAAATTAAACATGACTTAAACCTTGGTGCGAGGATCTTCAATTTTTTGCTGGTAGCAGCCGTATTTGAGGCAATCGCGATTATACAATGTGAGTTGTTCATACAGCAGTATCTACGTTTTTCGTTTCCTAGTGTCAGTTCCTTTGAGTCACTTTATTTTTCCTAAATCAGATTACAACAATGACCTAAGGATGCTTTTGGTTATTCACACGGATTTTGGGCACTTTGCATATGTGACCCAGTTGACCCTGTTTGAGGGTATGCAGGCTCTGGGCCACATTCTGCATATTATTTGGTACCACTGAGCATTTGAATGTCTGAGGATTTTCAAATATTTGCTAGTAGCCTAGCAGTATCAGAGGCAACAGCGATTATGCAATATGAGTTTCATACAGGACTATCTAGACTTTCGTTTCCTATTCTCAGCTCCTAGTCCACCGCCCCAAGTTGTTGTGTCCGACGAGGCCTTCCAGATCGTCGAGGAGGAAAACGATCACCTTAAAAAGGCCACGGAGTTATCGGAGCTCACCTAGCTCTCCAAATGGGAGGGCCTGGCGACGTAGCTAGTCTTATCGGCCGCAGCCGATGTCCCCATCCCCGAGTCAGGGGAGTTGGAGGTGGAGAAGTAGGAGGAGGAGCCGGCCATGCCATTTGAGGCATTGGTGGGGCAATCTTAGTCGTGGACAACCATGGTGCCCTGCATGCTGGAATTGGTGTCGGCTCTGGCCAGTTGGGTGGGCGCGGAGCCATGGTCACCGCAGCAACAACACGTGGTGTAGACACAACTGGAGCCGCAACAACCTGTGGTGCGGATGCAATTGGAGCCACAACAGGTACCACCTACTGCACCACCGCACGAGCCGACACCACTTGTCCCGTGGTCATTCCCATGGTAGCCTCCACCCTTCGTCGACCTCACCGCGGGCGACAACAACAGCGATGTTCTATTTAGTCCAAGTTATTTATGTCCTTTTATTAGTTTAAGTTAATGTATGGCCTGGACTTTTGGTGGCAACATGAAATATTTTCAATTTCAATTTGCTGAAATGTGTCGGCTGCATCGGGGCACATATATGGGTCTACGAACAAGAACGGACGCCGGTATCCGTCTGGCCGACCCAAACGAACAGAAAATTGTGTCCATTTGGATAGGTGCATTGGAGTTGGCCTAACAACCTGCATAGCACTCCCTCTATCAGTGTACAGAGTATCACTAAAGTCTTCCACGATATTCTAGCTGCCCACAAAATCCTTGACCGCCCACACGCCTCAGTTCCCAACGACGGCCAGTGCAGCTGATAGAACAGTGCGAGAACCCCATCATGCCCATCCAGAACGTGTACCATTGACCAGAATACAAAAGTTATTCAATGGATTATACGTCAATAATAGGTTTGGAAAGCAAATTGCAGTACTAGGAATGATGGCCTAAACTCCGGTCAATAGCACCAAACTAACATTTAGACCAGGAAAAATCGCGCATGTTCCTGTGGAAAGAGTATTTTTGAGGCCATTGTATTCTAGATTAAAGAGAGCGCAGCAAAACAATCCGATCAAACACATCCTTTGATCTCAGAGATGAGTAACGCGAACCGATGAAGCAAATAACATTCTGCAGAGAAGATAAAGCATCGTGCCTTGCAAGTAACAGTGCATTTGTTAGACTGTTCCATCTAAATTGCCGATGGAATGCAGCCATTCTATTTAACTGGTGCGCCAAGAGCATGGTTCAGAGAGCGCGTCAGCAAACGAAGCATGCCAAGGTTGTCCCAGAATTTCCCCAAAATGAGAGTTCATGTCTTCCGGTACCACCAGCAGCTCAGTTGTCGGTCCATTGTAAGGAATCTGCAAGGCAAAAGAGTAGACAGTAAAACAGAAATACCAGGATATTCTCTTGGACACCTTTCTCCAAAAAACATGGTATACTCATACCAGAATACAACACTGTATGCCTGTTTTTGCAAATCTCAAACACAGCAAGGTTACTTCGTAAGAGATACTAGCAAGAAACATACTTCAGCTCAGCCTTGATTTGGTAATAACATATCAGGATTAGTGACTAGTAAAAGAAAAGGCTGATCAAGGTGAAAAGGCAGGACAACTTGTAGCCTTTTCCTCATATTAGTTATGTCTGGGTATTGGGTTAAGTCAGAGGCCGAGGGACTTTCCCCTCTTTTCGATAAAAAATGGGTCAAGTCAGACCAGCCTGGTACTAGAGTACGTAGCTCAGACAATGCTCCCGTACAAAAGCATGCTTCCACCCCCAGCCCCCCTAAAATGCAGTACATTTGAGAAAAAAAATTCAAGGGTTAATTTGATAAATGCCACTCCAAACTAAGACACCATCATTATCTCGTAGGCATATGTGACTGAACATGATTCAACAAAAGAAGTTTCAATTAAGGATAACAATAGTATTGTAGTATAAGGATCGGACAATTAAGACAAGCAATTTCACATAGTGACTTGGGGTGTGTTTCATCTGAGGCCAAGCCAAACCCTCCAAAAATGGTTGCCCATGTTTTGACCAATGTTGGCAAGAAAAATGAACTAGAGTTGGCGTTGCCAGAGTGTATATGCATACCAAAATATTGGCAATAATCCAACCAAGAGCCAAAATTTTAGCTATGACAAAAAAATTGATACAGTTAGTTTTGGTTACCATCCAAACATGCCCTCGGAAACATGATCAAACTACTTGCTCCTACAAGTAAGAAGTAACACATTGCAAGTATATGAGATACGCGGAACGAACACGAGAAAGGAAAATATAAGACTAAGTATCGAATGAAAATAATAAGTGGTACCCAAACAAGAAAGAATTATTAAGATGAGTTACCAAAGATAAGTTAGCTGGCATCAATTTCTCCGGTCTTTGTCAACACGAACCAGTATGTCTGCCAAAGTCTTGCTTGTGCAATTGGTTGTCTTGCTCGAAAGTGTTCCTTCAGCTATATCCATAGATACAAGAACTTAAACACAAATGTATATGTTTCTTCATCACAGCAAGATTTGGATCAGAAAATACTGCTAGGCATTTAACATGACAGTTGCACAGATATATGTTAGACATTAAATAGAGAAGAAAAACATATTTACTCTACGTGATATATCACATGTCCAGTGCAATCAACAAAATACACCAGATTCTCTAGTAATACATAATTCCGCCTGCGGAATTTAAGTTCAGGATAGACCACTTCTAATCATGGCCAGTTTAGTTCTGAAACGTATGAGCCTATATGAAATGATTAAGTCTACACAACATTTGAGATATCAGCCACCAAATCACCCCCTTCAGAAACTTCAATACAGATACAATTCAGGTCAATTAACAAACATATCCATGCTGTGTACAAAGGTTCCAAGCACATGAATTGGAAAATATGTTCGACTAAAACCTGTGCACCCTAACAATTAAAGTGCAATAAGCTTCAAAGCTTCAATATGCAAATGAATCAAACATGCATGTCAAAGGAGCACATATATATACCTGCGCTGGGGAGCCATGGTGGGAGTACTAGGGGCACAAAGCCGTGGTACAGAGATTTGATGTCGCGTGGAAAAGCACTCCTCCCAATCCTTTCCCCCTCAGCCAAGTCGAGGGCACTAATAATTTCACCATGTTGGAAGTACAATATGTTGGCATTGAATGGATCAATTGCAGAAATCCACGGCAGTTGGTCTAACCGTGGTGTAGACTTGTCAGGCAACACCAGGTGCATTCTCATCTCATGTGTTAGCTTCCAGGAGGATCCCTCATCGTCGAGCGAGAAGGAGTAGAGCATAAACGGCTCTTTGATGGTCAATTCGACATAGCGCAGTTTCCCCTCGCTGACACCCAAGAGCCGGTACAGTTCTGGCTGCACCTCCATGTCGAAGTTGGGCAGCGGGCGCGGCAGCGCGACGAAGCCGTGCTCCGGCCGGTCACTGAATGGGTCGACAGAGAAGACGCCAAAGTAAGGCTCGAGCCACCACAGCCGGTCCCCGAACGCCACCACCTCGTGGAGGGGCATGGCGCGCCAACCCGGGGCCTCGGCCGGGACGAACAGCGGCGGCTCGTCCCACTCCCCTGTTTCGGACAGAAATCGGCGCACGACCCTTTGGCCGTCCCTTTCCCGGAGGCAGAGTTGGGCGACCACGAACCTGTCAGGCGGGCCGTGGGAGGCGTCGGATTGGGTGAGCAGGCCGAAGGGCATGGTTATCTTCTCGGCGTCCATGTTGGGGAGCGGGAGGCGGAACAGCTCGCCGCTGAGGGGGTTGCAGACGAAGCGCCTGACGCCCGGTTCGTAGGCGGCGGCAAAAGCGGCCACTGCGGGCAGGCTGTCGCCGTAGTCGCGGTCACCGCGGAGGGTGCCGGCGAAGTCGAGGAGGAGGAGGCCGTCACAGCTGGCGGCCTGGATGCTTACGGCGGCCAAGTCCATGCCGTCGGCCAGGTGGGCGGGGACGGAGAGCTGGGAGACGCGGGGGGGCTGGTGGAGGTCCAAGGACGGGCGCGCGCCCGGCGACGGCGCGCCCAGCGGCGCCATCCTGTAGGTGAGGGCCCAGGGAGGGTGCGAGCGCGAGGCCGCCGTGCAGAGGGAGCGTCGGAGGGGCGCCGCGACGGCGCCGGCGACGCGTCGGAGCATTTTGCTTCTGGGGGCGGAGACTGGAGTGGAGAGGGGGGAGGGTTTTGCGCGGCCGCGAGCGATCTGTCTGTGGTGCCGTGGTGGAGAGAGACGGTACGGGGAAGGGAAAGAAGGAAGGGGGGTTTGGTTGGTGCACATGGACTCGGTCCAGCCGGCTCTGGCACAAGGAGGGGTCCCTCCCTGATCTCGCAGAGAAGACGACAGCGAGAAAGGAGAGTTCGAATTTCCAAATCCAAATAATACATAGTACTCCGCGCCTACCTCGCGGCTCTAAGGACAACTCCACCGCGCCACCCTATCCTGTCCGGCCTCGTTCATTTGAGATAAAACAGATGAATAGTGTGGCCCAGTGCGCGGCCTCAAATGGACAAATGTCCGGATTTCGTCCGTTTTCGACCCATTCCGGCCCAAACTTGTGCTCGGTTTGGGGTGAAACGGACACGCGCAGACGGTCTGGACGCACGCCCTTGTCCCTCCTCCCCCCGTGGCCCGCCTGTCGGGGACAGTAGCAGTCCCTCCGCTCCCAACGCTTTCACCCTCTCTCTCCCGCCCCGCCCCGTCTCCGCCGCCGCCGCTATTCTTCGGTCGCCTCCTCATCGCCCAGCCTCCGGCCATCCCTACCAAACCACTTCTCGACATGGCCGCCACCAAGCCCGTGCTTTGGCCGTCGATCGGAGGTTTGGCCATCGCGGTCTTTGCCGGCCGCAGAGGGGACAGGACCGTCGGCGACGCACCACGGCGGCCTCGGCAGCTTCCGACGAGAGCTCCAGAGCGGCCAGTAGCCGGCCGACAACCACCCCTGTTGCGTCAAGGTGATCATCGCGGCCTCTTCGCCACCACGACCGCAAGGTGTTCAACATTTTGCCCACAAAGGTATGGACAGTGGAGACGAGTTTTTCTTCCATCACTTCCTTTGTTCATCGGATGATTCGTCGTCGGATGATGAAGATCTTGTGGTGGCTGCACTGGTCGTTCACGACCACATTCAACGGCAGCTTCCTCGGTACAGGTGGGTCAGTCCCTGGCCGTGCTCCCAACCTGAACCGCAACAGGGAGAGAGGCCACGCCCTGCTCTATGCTGATTACTTTGCCAACACCCCGCTCTTCAAGCCGAATAAATTTTGTCGCCGTTTTCGAATGGCAAGGCTTGTGTTCAATCGTATCCGAGAGGGAGTGGTTGCTCATGACCCATACTTCGAGTGCAAGATGGATGCCCTTGGCAAGTTTGGATTATCCTCTTACCAGAAATGCACAACGGCCATCCGCATGCTTGCATATGGATTCCAGGCGATCTGGTGGATGATTATGTGCGTATGAGTGAGACAACATGTCTGATGTCAATGTACAAGTTTTGCCAGGCTATGATCGAGGTGTTTGACCCAGAGTACTTGAGGCAGCCAACTGCCGCTGATACAGAGAGATTGTTGGCGACCAACGCAGCTAGAGGCTTTCCAGGCATGCTTGGCAGCATAGATTGTATGCACTGGGAATGGAAGAACTGTCCGTTTGCTTGGCAGGGCCAGTACAAGGGGCATGTCAATGGGTGCACTGTCATATTAGAAGCGGTGGCATCGCATGATCTTTGGATATGACATTCTTTGTTCGGCATGGCAGGTTCTCACAATGATATCAACGTGCTGCAGCGTTCTCCAGTCTTCGCGAGGCTTGCAGAAGGCCACTTCCCACCTGTCAACTTTGAGATTAACGGCCACCATTACAACAAGGGATACTATCTAGCAGATGGTATATATCCTCAGTGGTCAACTTTTGTGAAGACAATCTCGAAACCCTAAGGTGAGAAGAGAAAGAGATTTGCCCAAATGCAACAGAGTGTTGGAAAGGATGTGGAACGTGCTTTTGGTGTGTTTCAATCCCGGTGGGGTATCGTTCGAAACCCTGCACTGTCATGGGATGAAAGGAAGCTTTGAGAGGTGATGACTGCTTGTGTGATCATGCACAACATGATCGTCGAGGACGAGCGTGATGAGAGTATCTTCGACCAAGGATTTGATCATCAAGGTGAAAATATTGAGCCCCTGCACCAAGACCCGGACACATTTGAACAGTTTGCCCAATTCCACCGTGAGATGTGTGATTGGAACACTCATTTGAATCTTCAAAATGACTTGGTTGAGCACGTGTGGGATCACATTGGCAACCAATAGATGTATTGGTCCATTTTATGTTCAGTTAAGACAATTTTGATTTGGTTGTAAAACTATTTTATTAAAGACAATTTCAATTGGGTTGTAAAACTATTTTTATTTTCAGACAAATATTTGGGTTGGAAAACTAGTTTTGATGAAAATTTGGGCATTTTTGGCCCTGACGGACAGGATGGGGCAAATGGATGCAGCCGCGCGCTGGGCGCATGGCCACCGCATCCCAGGACACGCCCGGACACGACCCCATTGCCCTACCCAAACGGACAGAAACCGGACAAAACAGACGTCCGTTTGGGGCCGCGCGGTGGAGTTGGCCTAAATCTCTCCTCAGAGAGCGAGAGCCCCTTCCCTCCCCTCACGCCGGCTGCCACTCCGCCACCGGCGTCCACCCCCTCCCCGCCGGCGACCTCTTTGGTCCCGGCATCCCCCTCCCGGCGGATCTCTCCCCTCCTCCCATGGCATCTGGATCTCATAGTCCCCCGTCGGTCTTGTCGGCATTCCGAGGGAGCGGCCTATCGTCTCGGGGCTGGGGCTTTTGGGGTCGCCAGGCTCGGCGCGCTCCTCCTCGGCCACTGGTGGTCAGGCGGCCGGCCCCACGCCGGCGCAAGCGGAGGGCTGGTGCCAGTCGGGCCCCTCCCACAATGCCATGTGGAGGCGTCATCGTGCTCTCAGGAGGCAGCACGTGGATGGCGATGGCTTCGGCCGCGCTGTGTCGCCATCCTCCTCGGAGCGGTGATACGTCTCCAACGTATCTATAATTTTTGATTGCTCCATGCTATATTATTTATTGTTTTGAATGTTTATGGGCTTTATTATACACTTTTATATAATTTTTGGGACTAACCTATTAACCCAGAGCCCAGTGCCAGTTTTTGTTTTTACCCTGTTTTAGGGTTTCGAAGAAAAGGAAAATCAAACGGAGTCCAATTGACCTGAAACTTCACGGAACTCTTTTTTGGAAGGAAAGAAGCTCAGAAGACTTGGAGTGCACGTCAGGGGCTCTACGAGGAGGCCACGAGGCAGGGGGGCGCGCCCACCCCCTGGGCGCGCCCTCCACCCTCATGAGCCCCTCGTAGCCCCCCTGACGTACTTCTTCCGCCTATATATCTCCATATACCCTAAAAACATCCGAGAGCGCAATAGATCGGGAGTTCCGCCGCCAGAAGCCTCTGTAGCCACCGAAAGCCAATCTAGACCCGTTCCGGCACCCTGCCGGAGGGGGCAATCCCTCTCCGGTGGCCATCTTCATCATCACGGTGCTCTTCATGACGAGGAGGGAGTAGTTCTCCCTCGGGGCTGAGGGTATGTACCAGTAGCTATGTGTTTGATCTCTCTCTCTCTCGTGTTCTTGATTTGGCACGATCTTGATGTATCGCGAGCTTTGCTATTATAGTTGGATCTTATGTTTCTCCTCCCCCTCTTCTCTCTTGTAATGAATTGAGTTTCCCCTTTGAAGTAATCTTATCGGATTGAGTCTTTAAAGATTTGAGAACACTTGATGTATGTCTTGCCGTGGATATTTGTGGTGACAATGGGATATCACGTGATTCACTTAATGTATGTTTGGTGATCAACTTGTGGGTTCCGCCCATGAACCTATGCATAGGGGTTGGCACATGTTTTCGTCGTGATTCTCCGGTAGAACTTTGGGGCACTCTTTGAGGTCCTTTGTGTTGGTTGAATAGATGAATCTGAGATTGTGTGATGCATATCGTATAATCATACCCACGGATACTTGATGTGACATTGGAGTATCTAGGTGACATTAGGGTTTTGATTGATTTGTGTCTTAAGGTGTTATTCTAGTACGAACTCTAGGGCTGTTTGTGACACTTATAGGAATAGCCCAACGGATTGATTGGAAAGAATAACTTTGAGGTGGTTTCATACCCTACCATAATCTCTTTGTTCGTTCTCCGCTATTAGTGACTTTGGAGTGACTCTTTGTTGCATGTTGAGGGATAGTTATGTGATCCAATTATGTTAGTATTGTTGAGAGGACTTGCACTAGTGAAAGTATGAACCCTAGGCCTTATTTCCACACATTGCAATACCGTTTACATTCACTTTTATCATTAGTTACCTTGCTGTTTTTATAATTTCAGATTACAAAAACTATTATCTACCATCCATATACCACTTGTATCACCATCTCTTCGCCGAACTAGTGCACCTATACAATTTACCATTGTATTGGGTGTGTTGGGGACACAAGAGACTCTTTGTTATTTGGTTGCAGGGTTGCTTGAGAGAGACCATCTTCATCCTACGCCTCCTACGGATTGATAAACCTTTGGTCATCCACTTGAGGGAAATTTGCTACTGTCCTACAAGCCTCTGCACTTGGAGGCCCAACAACGTCTACAAGAAGAAGGTTGTGTGGTAGACATCAAGCTCTTTTCTGGCGCCGTTGCCGGGGAGGTTAGCGCTTGAAGGTATATCTTTAAATCTTGCAATCGAGTCTTTTAGTTTCTTGTTTTATCACTAATTTAGTTTATAAAGAAAACTATAAAAAAATGGAATTGAGTTTGTCTCATACGCTTCACCTTTTTAATATCTTTCGTGAGTATGATGGAAAGGATAATTGTGCTCAAGTGCTAGAAGAAGAAATCTATAAAATGTTTGGCACTAAATATTTGAATGATGAGCATGATTGCAATGTTGTTAGTATGAATTCCTTGAATATCCATGATGCTAATGATATGCAAAGCCACAAGCTTGGGGAAGCTATGTTTGATGAAGATGATATTTTTTATCCCCCAAGTTTTGATGAGCAAATTTATTATGATGAAAGCATGCCTCCTATCTATGATGATTATTGTGATGACATGTATGCTTTAAAGAATATTGATAACCATGAAACTTGTCATCTTGATCTTAATTTTCAATCACATGATAGTTATTTTGTTGAGTTTGCTCCCATTATTATTCATGAGAAGAATTTTGCTTATGTGGAGAGTAATAAAATTTATA